GCACCGAGAAGGAATGCGACCGCTGCCTAGAGTGGTTGGCATGATCTGCAACCTAATGAAATCGTTGGATGGGATTGACAACACTCTGAAATCGCTAGAAGCGATTGACAAAGGGGAGTTGGGAAGATAAGTTTCTCTGCGGTGTTGAGCTACAGCCAGAGCACCACTCAGACCCTGGAGACAGTCATCACTTTGGATGACTTACAGTCGAATCTCCTTTTCGTCATCGAATACAAACCTCAGATGGGAAGAATGCTTCAAAGGTAGCAGACTGAAATATGATATCATAATAAACTTGTTAACCCTAGGCAAACATAGCATATATACAATGGATCCTAACAAAAAGGACAAGGGATTGGAATTTGGAAAGGAATAAAATTGGAAGGTGGTTAATAAGGCAAACAATCAAATAGGAAGGAGAACTCTCTATGGAAAGAAGTGGAATAAGAAAGTAGAGGAGTCAGCTCACATTTCATCTGTAAGTGACCGAACCGAGCTGTGAACTCCTCCACGGAAAGGTGTCGCTGTTGTAGATTGTGGAGTTTCGGAAACTTGTCTTGACGGTAGTGAGGTAGAAAATACTTCTTCTGCACGACTTTCTTCATCTTCTCTCACTTGGTAATCGTATCGCTACCTTCCCTCTATGTAAGTTCTCCCACCACAATGAGATAATCTTTTTCAAATGGATTTCATTAATCCTTTTCTTTATAGAGATACTTTTAAAACAATTTATGTGAGGCAGCTTTTCTTGTATTTACTTGGGTGGAGAAAAAAATATTCCAGCTTCGTAAATTTGGATTGAAACAAAGTCCTCATGCCTAGTTCGACAAGTTTCTTGCTGAAATTTGACTGCTAGTAGTGTGACTAATCACTTTATATTTATTCAGCACCCTTTCTTTGGCACAATGATTATGGTTGTATAACATCCTTTTCACTAGAAGTGATATGCTAGATATCATTGAAATAAACCAATGTATCTGGAAGATATTTATCACTTAAGATCTTGGGCATCCAAAATGCTTTCTGGTCATTTAATTTACATATTGTAAGGCAATTTTCTCTCAGATAAAACATGCTATAAATCTTCCTGAAGAAATTGAGCTTCTTGGGTGTAAACCTACTGTTTCTTTTTTAAAATTTGCAATCATTTGAGGACGATGAAAGCTTTGAAGACCCTGGTAACTATTCAAGTCTTGTTGACGTACTTGTGTTTTTGGTTTTTACGGTATGGTTAGTCAGTTTATTTGATATCCAAACAATATATGCTGTGAACTAGTCCAAAGAATTTTAAGATATATCTAGAAATCTCTGGCTAATAATCTACTTTACCCAAAGCATATTCATTTGAGGTTTGAAACATTTTTTGATGGCTATTAAGCTTAACCTATTGATGATTAGAAATGTACTTTTAAGATATTATATTTTTGTTGGAGAAATCTTGCATCCTGAAAAATAAGAAGAGTATAGTTGTTGCTAGATGGTCACTTGCGAACGTTTTGTGGATTAAAGCTATAGGAGATGAGTTTGGATTTCCTGTCACAATCCATCATCCCTAATTGTGATTAGATGACAACTTTCAACATTAAAAACAATTTTATCCTTGATAATAGAACTAAGTATATTAAACTTGTCACGACTTGACCCAGTGAGTTTGGAATTACCATGGTGGGAATTGACGGTCGGACTAAAGAAACCTATCTACCAGTTTCATTTCATCGCAACAATAAAAATCCAATACACAATAGAGTCGTTCTAATTCATAAAACGTATATTTATAATAGATTGTTAATATTTATACATTGACATTCAAACAAAAAATAAATTAAACTGTAATACCTATCAGCTTGTGCTCTGCGACGCCTATACACGTACTCCCTGTGGTCCATCTAATCCTACTGATTTTCCTGTAAAAATATTAGCAAAAATGATTTGAGTTAAAACTACTTAGAGGATAAATGCTTCTAAATTATAATAATTTTTATTTTAAAATATTTTTGTGAAGGTGCGGTAATAGTAAAAGTTATGCAGTAAAGAAATAGTTTCATTTTCTTTTATTTATTTAGGTTACACTTTTCATAATTGAGAGCTACCGTCTAAACATATACTTTATAAAAATATACGTTTAACATTTCCCAACATAGCATAATGGTAGACAACTTTTTCCTTTTTCATTTTTATTTTCATTTTCATTTTCCTGGACGAGTATGTTAGATTTTCTTGTCAGTACCATCCAAGGGTGACTCCATATGCATGCATATACCATATTTTATTCATTTTTATCTTGTATTTAACATTTAAAAGAAAACTTGTATTTAATATTTAAAATCAAACCAGTATTATTGCATTTGAAATAAAAACTGGAAACAATAATTAAGTAGAACTATTGTAAAATAAAATTTATTTAACCACCTCAAAAAGCTGGAAATAGTAATTAAATAGAACTATTGTAAAATAAAATTCATTTAACCACCTCAACTGTGTCATCTGCTATCATTTTCCTTAGGCCAGTTTAGTCCTTAGGCGCACCTATAATAAAAATTTAAATGCAATTAACTTCTTGTTCAATGCTAATTTTCTCTCCTATTACTCCTGGATTCTCTATCATTATATTCATAGTTTATTTTTTTAAGAAACTATTTATTGACCTATATAAACATATATACATATTTATGTATTATCTAACATATATATATGTTGGAATATCCCAATTAAATTTTATGTTAAAGCTTCTAACAATTTTTCTTTTTGCATGCCTACTTAATATCAATTTATCCATAACTAAATTTAAAATTTAGGATTCTTAATTTGCTTTTTAACATTACTTATTAAGAAAAATATTTATTAACTTTCACAATTTAATTTTATATCTGAAATTTTCTTTTCCCATTTTCTATTTTAGCTTCCTCGTCAATCACTTATAATTGTAAGAATAAACATTAGGATTTTCTGAATAGGTAAATTAATTAGGATTTACATTCCTAACATAATAGTAAATAAATAATTAACATTTCCTAATTTAATTTAAATCAATTTCAATTAATACTTTAACTTAGCCTACCCTCTGCCTTGCCTTGCTAAATGAACCGAGCCTCACTAGGTTGAGCTCTCCCGCATGCAGGGACAAATTTTCTATCCGGACTTCGGACGTAGCTCTAAGTGCGGACTCTCAATAATATACCTTCATGTGTGCTATATCAGACCCACCTAAAAAAATATTAAAGTGAAACCGCGGACTCTGCAATAATCCCGAAATAACACCAAAATAACCTATGAGATTCCATCTCAATAACCCCAAATAAATCTCATATATTTCACTTCAATAACCTCAAAATAACTCAGAAATAACCTTCGCGGTGTTTTTCGGGGTTATTGAAGTAGAACCGTGGAGGTTATTTCTGGGTTATTTCGGGGTTATTGAAGTGGAATTATGAGTTTCTCTTCAATAACCTCGAAGTAACCTCCACGGTTCCACTTTAATAACCCCAAAATAACCTCCGCGATGTAGCATACGTGACAACATATTATTGGAGTCCGCACGTAGAGCTACGTCTGGAATCCGGGCAAAAAATTTTTCCCGCACGCAGAGCTCCCACAGGCCCTAACTTAGTCTCTGAGCTCTCGGCCGAGCTTCTATAGGCCGCTCAAGCCCTCTTTCTCCTCCTTCCTCTGCGAGACGCATGACACGGAGAGTCCGCCTCTCCCTTCCTCTTCTAGCCGCCGCTAGATAGGGCTTCGAAGCAGCGATTAGAGTTCTCCTTTACTCTCTTTCACTCGGGTGAGTCGTTTGAGCCTTCCAGGTACTCAATCGAGTTTCCCCCTCTTCTCCCTCCTTTATTTTGATGCTCGCGACACTCTGCAGAGCCTCTCGAGCTATCTTCCTTGCGATTCGATCGCGAAAATGGAAGGAAGTGATCGTAGCAGGTGAGCCACTCATCTTCTACTCCTCCTTTCTTGTTTCCCTTTACTGTAACTGTTGCTTCTTCAACTTCTTTCTTCTTTTCTTCTTCTTTCTTTACCTCACTCTTTCGCTCTCTCACAATCCCCCTCGTCTCTCTCACGCTCTTTCGCTCTTTGTGTGCGTGTGGTCGAATGAGAGGAGATGAGGAATAAACCTCATCTTAATGCTCCCATTAGCAGTATAGTCTTGCTTGAACGACAGTGCAGGCATCATTTATTATTACAAAACTAAATTCACTTTGTTAGAGATACGTTCTTGAAGAAGATTGTCAGTTTATTAGAGGTACAGCCTTGAAGAAGATCATTCGTGATCCACATTTCTAGTGAAGAACAATTGACTGATATCATCACCAAAGCTGTGAGATCTCCTTAATTATTCGATCTTTGTTACAAACTAGAACTTATTTTTATGAAGTGTTCTCTTTGTAAAGTACTAAATTAAGAAGTCATTTTTATCATGTTCCTCTTGATTGAATATATTCACTTCCTTGTTTTGGCGGTATTTGTCTTATATATCTTTATAGTGGTACATACTTGTAGTCATTAACACATCATAAATTAGTCAATATTACACGAGAATTTCCTCTTCTAACAAGACTACTTCATGCTAGCTTGTTTAATACCTAATTTCTTTCTTCATCTATGCCATGCTTTCTGTAGCTTTGCAATAAGTTTTTTTTTTTTTTGTTATTTCATTTGAAATATTGACACTTGACTGATGCCATTAATCCTTATGGACCACTGCATTTCTATTGTAAGCTCTTTTTTTTTTTTTGAAAGTTTGATTCTAACTTAATCTGTTCAGCAATATTTAGTTGTTCAATTTACTCAACTGGTTTAGTTTGGGGAAAATGCCAATTCTCCGTTTGTGGTAAATGGCTGTTGCTGAAGTTCCTGTTGTCTGTTTTTTAATTGTTGAAAATAGTTATTTATCTTCTCAATTGGCTTAAAACTGTAGACGTTTATGTGATCTTTGTATAAGATTTCACTTGATGATTACCATGTTTATCGATTATTAACTTACTCTCAATTCTTTTAAACAGGGGTCTGACTTTTGTATTAGAACTCCATATTGCACTTGTTTCGGCCGTGTTAGATATGGTTTCTAGGCCAATGGCCTGGGGCGTGTCAATGGAAATGGGACTGAAGTACCCTTTCCCGCATGCCTATTTTCCTAATAACTTACAGGAACTACTTGGTGTATTGAATGGACCTATTTCATGTAATAGTTTTGTGAATTTGGTTCATTATATTGAATTAGAAGTCATTTGTCCAGAAGCATCCTTTGAGCCAACCATATGCTTGCTCAGACATGAAACAATGCAGGGTTCAATTGAAAATAATTCTACCTGGTACGTACAAATCTTCACCCTATGTGGCTGCTTCTTTTTTTTTTTTTTAAATTCCTTTGTAATTGAAAACCTTACCATATTGAGGTGTTGTGTTGTAGGTCAATGCTGATGAAATTTCCTACATGGTTCTATTTTGCATCTGTGCTAATCTTCTATCATAATGATATTCAGGCTTCTTATATTTCGGAAGTTATTTCTAATGAAATTAATTTGTTCTCGTCCTATGACAGAGATCTGATTGAGGCTGCTATCATATATCTTTCCTTTGTTCTTTGCCCTGTTGTCAATGGCCATGGTGATAGACTCGCTGAACATTTCCTCAAATTATCAAGGTCTTGGAGCGTAAAAAGTAGGGCAATTCCAAGCTATGAACAACGGTCCTCTTTAACCACCCACTCCAATACTAAAGTTTCACTTAGCTTGAGAAGGAAGCTCAGAATAAATAAGAGTCAAGATGATAAGCATGCTCCAACAACACAAATATGTAGTTTTTCTGCACTTTCATCATGGCTTAGAGATTTTGATGATGTATGTATTGAATCATGGACCAAACCTTTCCTTAGATACACATCGGTTGATTCAAAAGGTCAAGAAAACACAACAAAAAGTTCCAAAAAGTTATTTAATAAAATTCCTCTAGGCATATTCATATTGTACCCAACAATATTAAGTGACAGGGGATGTGAACTGCTACTTTATTATGCCACTACCGGTGAAATTTTGCAGCATAAAGAAAACCAAACAGTGACCAGTGACTGTCATGAGCATGAAATTACTTTGTGTTATGGAAGTGATGGAAGAAAATGGGCAAGTGAAGGAGTTTGTCTTGTATTTTCATATTTTGACATTGTCGAGGAGATATCGGTGATGTTATTCGACTGCGAAGCTACCAGGCTTGATTTTATCTGCCATCAGAAAGGAAAGGTTTGCAAATACTTGCTTAGATGTGTCAAAATATTGCTTAATCTATGTATTCAGCAATTAGTAGAAGTCAGAGGCAGGGTTGGCTTACTGGATCTTTTCAGAAGATTGTTCCAGTGGAAGCAACAAGGACGAGAAATTTTTCAAGGCTGTGAAGAATTTAATGATGCGGTTGATGGATTTGCAAAAAAATTTTTAACATTGAAGGAGCTCCAGGAAGTGATCTAAGATTTTGGATCATCACATTTTCTGCCTGTATGCTTTTCAGTACTGGTTCTTGAAATGGTCAGAGGTAAATATACATATGGTATATGGCTGTCTAATTGTTACAATGTTTGTCAGGACCAGAAAATTATCTTTCGGCAATTCAATTGTTTGCCATCAATATTGAATTCAATGGACCTAAAGATTTAGCTTGCAGTTTTTCTAAGAATTACATTTTGAATACTAGTTTTATCAATAAAGAACAGGTATGTAACATCAATTAATTCCCCATTTTTTTCTTTATTTTCTTACACTGATAAAGGAATATGCTGTTTTACAAATAAAAATATCTAAATTCATCAGCAGAATTGAGGGGGATAAAAGTTTTAGTAAATGTGGCGATCAAATATTTTTTATGTCTTAATTGTAAGCGAATTTTTGGGAACCTCTGGATAGGGATGTGTAGAATCCACTTTCTATCAATTTTATTTGTCATCACACAGATTTTACATCTCATTTCAATAGCTGAAGACATGCGTTATCCTTTCTCTAACACAGGATGTTCGTGGCTGCCATTTAATCGAATTTACCTATGTCAATGAAGGAAAATAACTTACCTTGGTAAGTTTTCTATATTTGGTGAGGGGCATAAGTTAGCATGGAGAACCCTAGAACAGTAAATCATTTTGTTCCTGATTTTTATTCCAGTTTCCCATTTACAGCTTATCATCGATCCCTAATCTTCGTATAACTTGTCTTCTACCTGTTGTGCTCTGCTTCTGATGCTCATTTCAACACCCAAATGCTCATCCCAAACACTCGATATCGACAACCCACTCATGGCCTGCACTCTAATTGACTATCAATGCAATTATTCTTGTCTTCACACCGAAGGGCACCCACGCTCAATACTGAATACCTTCAGCTCTCAACTCATGCCCTACAACTTGTTTGCTATTGCTTTCTCCTAGTTACTACAAACCAACATCTACAGCCTGCATTCTCCGCCATCTCGCCCATGAATTGTTAGCACCCTGTACTTGCTCGATTCACTCAATTCTTTAATTGCTTAAACTTCTGCCCTTTACTTTTTAGTTACTTTCATTCATGGCATCCTGAATTTTTTTTCTCAGATGAAATCCTTGTCTACAATTGGTGCATCTCTCAAACTTAAAGGTATCAGCTATCTTATATGGTCTCAGTTATTCATTTTCTTTTGGGATCTTATGATATACTTAATAGAGTTAACTCGAAAGGATGTGAATGACTCATGTAGGGTTAAAATGATACATGGTGATATTTTCATAGCTCACAAGTATGTCAGCCAAATTTGAGTATGAATGAGGAGTTAGAGAATCTCGAAGCTTAGTGAGAGGAGGATGAACTATAAAAATGTCCCAATGAAAATGAGTAATAGTAGAAGAAAGGACAATAGGGACGACAATTGTTAAGTGGTAGAAACTTCACTTCTTTAGGTTGAGATTTTGACTAATACAGTGAAGGAAAAAAAGTGAAAAAACAATTCGTAATTTTTTGTAAGGTAGTGATGGGATAGTAAATTTACAAAAAAATATTAGGATATGTAAAATAAGGGAGAGAGAATTTTTGGCATCATCATGCCATTACCTGAAAGGATGATATAGGGAAACCATTAACCATGATTACAGGGGGAAGAGAGTCATGTGGAGATTGTTGAAGAGTTTATAGTTACTTATCATTCGGGAAGATGCATCAAAATCTAGAATGTTGGACACACTTGAGGTGATAACTATAGGAGATCTATGGGTTGAAATAACATGAGAAGCATATGCAGAGGCCTGTGTATTCAAAATCAACAATCATATTTTTTCTGAGATATTTTACATCCAAAAAGAGTAGTGGTGGAAAATCCAAAAGTGAGAAGATGATCTAGGCATGTTAACTAACAGCCAAATAGTCAAACCTGGACCAGCATCCCATTGAAGGATGATTGATTCCATTTTAGTGAGAATAAGAAATGGAAGACTACCCCCTACAACCACATCCACTATTAGCATAGCCGTCACAATTCCTCATGGTAAGGAGAACCTAATTAGAAGATGGTGGAGATGCAGTAGATAACTTAATCACCCAAAGAACAAGAGAGAGAGAGAGAGGGAGCGAGAGAGTGTGTGTAATAACTGAAATTTTAATAATAATAATAATAATAACAACAATTGAGTAGGTAGTAGGGGTTAAGCGTCATTATGATTTCTTCTTTAGGGGTCGATGGTGTGGCCCTTTCATTCGAACAAACGGATGCGAGTGATGGCAGAGTGGAGCGACCGGAAGAAGAAAGTGTAGAAGCTCTTAAGAAAGTTTGCACTTCGCGTGCAAAGGAGAAGAGAAAGAAAAAGAGAAGGAAGAAGCCACGTGAAGGAAACTTACCTTCCCTTGGGAAAACAAAATCGAATTATGCAAGAGAGGTTGTCGAGTGTGTCCTGCACGAAGGAAGAAGATATTGCCAGCCTTTTTGTGGGAATTTTGTTTACGTGCGCTCGAGAAGAAGAAGAAACAAAATGAGCGGTCAAAGGAGGAGGGATTGTGCAGCTGTTTCTTGCTATGCAAAACTTATAGCACTCGACTAACTCTGAGTAGAAGAGGGAGGAGGAAGAAGTGCAGCTCACGTTCGTATGGATAAGGGGATGAACAAAGCAATTAATAAGTGAGTTAGGGTTTTATAATATTAATTAAGTAATATCAAATGATTGTTTATTTATTAAATGTTAATGATAGATTTAAATAAAGGAGGATTGAAGCTATAGAAATCTCGGATTAGAGGAAGATCGAGATCCATATTTGTGCAAAAGAGAGAGATAATTGACGTACGTTTATGGCTAATTTCAATATAGGGTTTTGCATAAATAATTTAATGTACTATTTATCATTTTTTATTGTTTATGTTATTAGTAAAAGATGCATTACCTTGGATTAAAAACTTAGAAATAACTTCATTGGAGTAGAAGGTAAAGATTTATGTATTATTTATGTTTGTAGTTTTAATTAAATGTCATCAATTAAAGTATATTAATGTCATGGGAGAGTTTTTGATTAAAATAATAATTGGGAAAAAATTAAAATAATGAATTATATGTTAGAGAGTTATATTGGAAATAAATTTCTTATATATGCACTTTTAATGGATATAGGTGAATCTAGGAGAAAGAATATGAAGGGATAAGTGTTTCAGAGGTCTTTTAAAAGTCAAAGTGAGTAATTTCTACTTTATGTATATTAAATTCAATTTATTTTATTTTATAAATGTTTCATTTATTTATACTCATCAAAGAAAATTTTATAATTGAAAGGAAATAACTAAAAAATGAACTGATTGTTTTATTATTTATGTTGCATCATCTTTTGCACTGCATGTAAAGTAAAATAAACACTTTTAATGATTGAAGAAAATGAAAGATAAAAGTTAAAGTCTTTCAGGAGTCACCCCATATGGCACTAGTTGGCGATGCTATTGTATTCATGCACGTTAAATTGTAAGGACAATGGTAAATGAATATCTTTATAATACAAATGATAAAGGTGTGCTTTTATGGTACAAAATGGTAACGATTTTAGCGTTGATCCTGAGATAACCTTATTACAAGGAAAATGAATATTGAAAGGAAAAAATTAAATGATAAAAAAGGATGAAAATATAATTAATTTAGATATTTAGCAAATAATTTTATAAAAACAAAAATGTAAAGATTATTTTAATGTTGATCAGCATATTCGTTTTAATCATGTTAGGCAATTGCATAAAGATTTAATGCATAATATAGTATTAATTATTCACTAAGTTGCTTAAATTTAACCTGTTTAACTGTCATTTTTCAAGAATAGGTTTGAAATATTAGTATGGTTGAAAGGAGATGACAGATCTACAGGAGAGGCGTTGTGAATGATATATAGTTATTTCTTTGGTGTTATGTCTTTTTCCTTACTTTTTTAACTTGTGTATTGTTAAGATTGGATGATCTTATGATTTTGTTTGAGGTTTTGTTTATATGTGAATTGTGGGTTAATGACCCTTTTCCATATTAAATGTTATTGGGGATTAATATAAATATTTAGAAAATTCTTTCACAGTCCGATCGTCGATTTCTGCCCTTATTAACTCTAAGTTCTCTGGCCGGGTTGTGATTGTGAGAGAGTGTAGTGGTGAGGTTGGGAATTGAAGAATTAACCCTCAACTCATATCACATCCTGGAAGAATGTATAAAATTGGAGAGAATGTAGCAGTCAAGATTCTTTGTTATGTTGTTGCTGTATTTTAGGATCAATAATAGAAGATTTTTAGTGACTTCATCCAATTTATTCTGTAGGGTAAGATACAATTTTTGAGTGTACATGTCATTTTATTAAAGTGAGAACAAGTTATAGATTAAGGTGTTCACTCTTGAGATGTACAAATCATTTGTAGTTTAGTGAAACATGGTGGTGAAGATTATATTCAACCATGATAAGAGATGATTTAGAAAATTGCATATCATGTAGATGATATTGTAGCAACTAAAATATTTAAATAAATAAATATAATAATAATAATAAATCGAATAGGCAGTTATGTTATACATATTTTTCAGTTATGAGTTAAGCCGTGTGTCCCCTTTTCGAATGAATGAAATCGAGAGGCAAGAAACAAAACCACTGAGGAAGGAAGAAGGGTCATTTTCAGCCCTAATTTTCGGATTCATTAAGGAACTTCGCATCTGACGCATTGCGAGGGGCTTGTACTTTTGTCACGAATTGCGGTTGGATGATATTAACATTTAATTTACTATCCTTAGATTTAAAACTTTCAATCTAATATAGTACCACTAAGAAATCGACAAATGTATAGAAGGAAATTTAAATAATTCAACAGTAATAGACTAATGTGCAAGTAAAACTTTTAAATCCACAAAGGATGCAATGTATGTGTGCACGATAAAGAAAATAATAAATGTATATCTTCGGGTATCAAATTTTGAGGGTGTCTATGAATATAAGTTTGAGGATACATTCGGGTATGACAATAATAATGATATGACTTTTAAAAATGTTAAAAATGGTAAATACTTAAATTGAAATAGTGTCATATTTAAAAATAGAATTCTATATTTTGAATAAATAATAAACTACACTTCTTTTGATCATTCATACATTGTTACACCCCATTTGATCCCTATTTTTTAGAAGTCGACTGAGATGCGACAGAGGCTGGCAATGTGGTCAGACCAACTTTGACCAGCACTCGTCTTGACTTTCATAATCTTAACTCAGTGAGTGATCAATTAGTCTAACTAGATCGTTGCATATACGTTTTACATTGCATGTCAAAGTTCATTCATATTTACGAATGTATAAAAATCATATCATCAAAACATAGATATTCAAAGTTGTTAAATTTAATATAATAAAAAATATATGTACCCAAAAAGCATGTACAAAGCTACCAAAACTATCGTGCAAAAGTTGTACAAAGACACACTTGGATATACTCGCCTCGATGCTCGTTGCCCTTACTTGGAAGGCAACAATAAAGAATGAGCAACAACGAACTCGAAGAAATAATGAGGGCTAATATAAGATTTTATACATGAAAACAAAAAGAATTTGCATGATCGTATAAAACTATACATGTCTACATACAAGCATAATATGGTGACATGATAGAAAACATGAAAAGAAACCAAGTACAAGTGTATAAAAAAAATCAACTATATTGTAACATGCTGGTTGTAAGCATGAAATCATACGTATATAAAAGCATGTTCATTCATTTCGTAGAGGTCAAATCATAATAGTGTCACTTGTTTAATGTATAAGGTTTAACTAATTTCATGTGCTTTCATCATGGTCGTCACCGTGTCCCTAAGGTCATATAAACTATCAATAAAGGTTGGGTTTCCCCCAACATAGCAGTTAGCGACAACCCCCCGGATACCAACATTTTCATAACGTTATTGCACCGCCGAATTCCAACGGTTCTAAGAGTTTTTTCTTCATACAAATATCAAGAGTCGGGAATACTACACCCTTGCATAATGTACTTGCAAGCATTCAAGTAATAGTCTATCCAATAATATTTCTTGTGATATTTAAATCATCACTCCTGCATCAATTATTTATCAGGCATTACATGCATTATATGCATAGACATTTTATAACAGATAAATACCTGCAGGAAATTCATATCATATGCAAATTCATATGTAGCATAGTTTGATCATAACATTACTTATCGTAAGAAAGTAAACGTGCATTGACGTGTTTTTATATGCTGGCCTTGTCGCCTCGTCTACACAATTTGGGGAGCGTAGACATCATAGAAATTTATAAAAATCAGGTTCATAACATGGTTTAACCCAAAACATAACTTATTCGCCCGAAACATGCATCAAATGGGCTTTTCGGCATAATTTGCTTGACTGAAATCGGCTAATATTCTTCTTATTGCCTCCAACTTAACTTATCCTTCACTATACTCATGCTAAAACCCTTTTGGAAGCTTGCAAAACAAATACGAGACTTCCGACACAAAATCAGTGCCTCCGACGGCTACCAAAAACTAGAAAAACACGAAAAATGAGGCAAAAGTCAAAACCGAAGAGTGAGGAAGGAAATCAAAGCTTAAATGATGAGGGAAAGGGATTCGTACTTATAGAAATTGTGTTGGAGCCCTAAATCCTGAGTTGCAACACTCAGGCGGCAGCTCGGTTCTTTACTTGTGCCCTTGCACTGTAGCAAGGGTCACAACTCCCTTCTTCAGATGACAGATAGGGAAGAGGGAGGGGAATCGGGGAAGAAATGAAAAGTGATTTTGGAAAGGAGGAATATGCTAAGCACGGTACCTAATTCGATCGCATGAAAGAAATAAAATTGACGTAAGGTCGGTTGACTACAGTAACAGAGGATTAGAGAGAATTAATTAGGATTAATTAAGTTAATTAAATATATAACTTTGAAATCTTTTATCCGATCCCTTCACAATTCATGCATGGTTTTATTATATAGAATTGATCGATTTAATGCGTATAATTTAATAAAATTATTTCGATAAAATTTTAGAAGATGAAAATTTTGGGATACTTTACAAATATGTCGAACTTACTTAAATTCTCGAAATTTGGGCGTTACATACATAACATTCATTTTATAACTTATTGCATATTATAAGATTATAATTATTCATTAAGTTATGGTAAATTTACTATTGAAGTTAATGGTTTCTTTCATGAAAATAAAAACTGTAATTTGATATAACTGGCATGAGAGATTTCGTTTATAGGAGGATGATTGTTGTTGCTACGTATTGTGATTGTAGTTTATTTTTGCATTGTTTTCTTTTTGATAATGATATATTATTTTCTGTATTTTGATATTTTATTTAGAGATTATTTGTTGTTGTTGAATGATTTAAATTTCTTTGTGTATTTGTGGATTTCTTAGTGGTGTTTTATTATATTGGAACTTTTAAATCTAAGGACAGTAAATTAAATGTTCATACAGTCCGACCACAATTTCTGACTTAGTTAATTCTATGTTATCAGTTTGGGTCGTGACAAATATAGAGTAAATGTAAATATCATGCGCCATGTCAGTAAATTTGAAAGAAAAAAAAACAATGAAAATCAAATCTAGATTGGTAGTCATCGAGATGTAAAAAGAGAACTTGAAAGCATCTCAAATAATAAGGCAGAGTGGTGGGCTCCATTGGTGGGGCAAGCGGGCATGAGATCACTTGAAACATTAGTTAGGAGATGAGAGGGTAGTGGGCTATTGGTGGTGCAAGCTGGTTTGGCATCCGTTATAACATCAGTAGGAGATATGTGTGATACTGATTTAGGGCTCCTAAAAGGTAATTGGGATGCAGATTTAGTGGAGAACTTGTAGTGGAATAGCAGAGGAATAAAATATGGGAATTTGATAGGGATAAATGTTAATTGACAGCTGTCTTGTTTGAAAACTGCGGAGAAAACTCCGAGTAGGCGATAATAGGGTAGGGAGAAGCTTGACTGCCTATTCCAGCTAGGGCTGTCAAAAAAGCTCGCTGTTCGCGAACAGCTCGTGTTCGGCTCGTTCGTTAAGTAAACGAGCCGAACACGAACAAGTTCTTAAAACTCGAATTATAAACGAACCGAGCACGAACAACTCTTTGTTCGCTCGTGTTCGGCTCGTTTTAGCTCGAAATTTAAAAAAAACATATAATTATTAATATAATAATATATTATATATATTATTTATATATATATTCATATCTAAATTTAAATCATAACATCTTGTATGGTAATATGGTTAGTGTCTTCTTTTGTACATATTTGGTTCAGGTTCGAATCCCACACTTTACATCTATTTTTTTTAATTTAATTTTTCCTAGTCAATTTCGATCCGAACACGAAAATGAATATTTAAATCGAGTCGAACACGAACATGCTGTTCACGAGCCGATTTCGAACATGAACTATGTCGAACGAGCCGAACACGAGCCAAGCCTGAGCTCGCTCAAACTATGCTCGTTTACAGTCCTAATTCTAGCACAAGCTACAGACATTCCACTTACAAAAAGAAAATGATACAACACTGCATTAGGGTAGAACTAGGAAAAAAGCATATTTAAAATACTAAAGTCAAATCAAAAGTATTCTCAAAACGGAAAATAACAACATATCAATAGTCACTCAAGTTGAAACCCTACTTTGAAATAATAAAAATAGAAAATAAACAAAAAGTAAATAAAGGAATAGAAGATAAATCAAAGAAAATCCGGGCTGAAACAAAAATTGGGATGGAAACAACTCTTTCGTCCTTCCTGGGACAGTCGAGAATCCCGATCCTGCGGGATTGCAGGATCCCTCAATCATGCGCGATTTCTGATCCCACAAATACGTGGGGGAGCTCCCGCGTCAATGTGAGCATGAGTCTACAAATGCATATGCAATAGGAAAGGAGTAATGGTAGAGGGCAGCGACAAAAGTGACATGGGCGATAGATAAAGCTAAGTCTACGTATAGTCATGCTTCAGCAGTGTATTTGGCGTTGGTAAAGACTATTTTAGTAATGTGCAAGCAGGGTGCGAGTACTGTGCGGCATGTGCAAGACGAGCGAGGGGTTGCACATGCATGTAGCAGGACTAGGACTGTTGGGAGGAACATACGCTAGTGAGCAGCTAGGGTTGAAACGGGAATTGTACATGATTGTTATAATAAAAGGTTAGATTTTTTTTTTTGTTCTGATATCTTGTTGAGAGGAAAGTGATTTATGTAAAATTGACAGAATATGAATAAACTGGCATACATGTGTTGGCACTAATTAAATGAGGATATCGAATTATATGCAATTACTTTACAGTATTAGGAGGAGCCTTGCCTATTTTGTCCCTACTACCTAATTCGTGAGCAATAAGTTATTTTTCCATTCACACAATTAGAAATTATTTTTCCCACTTTACCAATGCTTATTTGGTTCTCTGTTTTACATGCTCATGCCATGATTATGCCTTTTTTATTGTCCACATTATATTGCTGGTCAAGCCAATTAACTACCTTTGATTATAATTCATATCGAAATTTTATCTTCCTGGTATTTTTGGATTTTGCCAGTTTTATCTTTTGCAAATATGTTTGTGATTAATTTGTCTATTTGTTTTCGCTCATTAGTCTTATCTTTCTTGAAAATAAGGCAAAGCTGCACCAGAAGGATCTCAATACGGTGCTTTGCTGTAAATATGAATGAACTGTGAGTATATTACATCTTTCTAATTTTTTTTATTCTTAATTGAGTATATTTTACTATAACTGCTATTAGATTTCTGTTATTTTGTATGATGGATGCTGGCTTCATGTCCAGAATGATCTAGATTTTTTGTTTATCATATGATGAGGTTTATGATAAATTTTATCACATTGAGGTCAATAAATTCTTGTTAAGGATGTTGGATAGGGTTGTAACTAAGCCAAGTTTGATCCTTCAGTTCATGGAGTTTGACTCAGGAGCCATTTATATCGAGTTGGTTCATGACAGTACTTGTATGGGTTATGCCGCTAAACCAGTTTGTCAAAAACGTTATTTGAATTTGGACATAAGGTTTGTACTGAGTGCTAATCCTTCTTTTACCCTAGCCTGATAATTAGCCCGGCAAGTTGAGAAGGTTATTGATTATTTTAGGCATAAATGTTTATGCGTGTTTATGAGGAACCGGTGTCTGCGAGGGCAAGCAAATTCATTCTATGGCTGGCTCAACGAGTCAGTAATTTGATATTTTTATCTTGGCGGTCACTTTGTACTGATTATATTTTAATTTTATAAATGCTCTTTTGAGGAAACTGATGAATTGGTCATTTCCTATAGATTATAGGAACTTTTACATAAATACCGCACAATTCTTATGTATTAATATACATTGTTTTCGTTTGTTTTTCTCTCTTTTATTTTAGAAGGAGTCGTCAGCTTGTCGATCGTCGTATACTTCCTCCATTCGAATAAATCTCTCTCTCGAATCAGATCGGTGATTTGAAGAGGAGGAACCGAATAAGAAGGGATATACGACAAACAGACAAACAAGAGAAAACACAGAACATGGAGAGCCTACGTGCGGTAAATCTCATGAGGATATGTTAAGTGTGTCCGCCCAAACAGGATTGGGTGAAAGTACCTTAAACCGATATTTGTGAAAAAATACTTATGTAGACTACCCATAACCAGAGATTCAGGTGTAGGTGTCTGTTTTGGGGTTCAAGAGCACTCCCAAGGGGACGCATCTCATTTGGTTAATTACATCTCTGGAGGTACTTAAGAATACTCTCGATAAAAGAAATTTCGCTTGGACTATCATGAACTTAGGACAATAGATACTCAAAAGAATGTTATTTTATGTAGGAAAAGTCCCGATGTTTCAAAGCTCACGTCAAGCCATCGAGCAGAGAGTGAGTTTCACATCCCGGATGGGCAGCGACTCATTGGCATATGGGGCCCACAAAAGAGCCTAAATCATCTTCACGTGGATATCTCAACACGTCAAAACACGTTCGAGTCATAAGGGTAGAAGACAAATCGTTGTATCTCAAACAGACGACAACTCATCGGCATTGGGTCGTCATGGTGATATCAACGAAGTCAAAGAGAGACAGGGCTCAAAGGGGCTCAACAAAAGGAAGATAGAGTAATCCTAAAAGGTAGAGGTAACTAGGTCGGGTACCACAGACCCGTCATCCGCAGCTAATAGGACTCTAAGTCTATTCGGTTGTGAATGTAGTCGACCCAACACGTCTTGAGATTTTTGGTCAGCAGTCCGTGAATTGCGTCGTCTACGGGGAACTCGACAGCTTTAAGTTCAAAGGAAGGAATGCAAGATTTGGGTTTACACCTCGTAGACTTGGAGTCCTATGATGCCTCTGGAAGGAAGAGAAGGGGAGGTTCAACTACAAAATTGGAAACACTCCAAACAAAAGGATTTATACCTCGTCTGGGTCGGGAAGTCTTCTAACACTCTAGACACACTAGACAATCACCTATAAAAAATGTATGCTAGGTCAGTCAGGTTAGAGAAGTACAATGACTACTCCTCGGGACATGCAAATATGAATGTAGTTATCTAGAGCGGTCTTTAAATATTGTGGAGACTCTATTAATATATGCAAGAAATAAAAGTTCAGTTTTTTAAAGTCCTGAATATTTTAATCCTAAATTTTAATTATCTTTAATGTTTTATTTAGGATTTTGTAGAAAATTATGAATTTAAGTCCTATAGAGTCTATATTGCATCGTGATATCCCGATCACAGAAAAAAACAAGGAAAACACATGCAGATGTGCAGACATACAAACATGCATACATGTTACAAAAAGTAAAACAAGCCAAATAAAATAATAATAGGCCGGTGCTACTGGGCCGACGACATATCCCAAAAAAGAAAAAGAAGACTGGACTTTGCATATATATGTCTGGTTCTAATTCTATACATCAATATAAAAATGCAGAATTAAGATACGGGGCACGAGCACCTGTGAACCTGTGAACCTAATAAATTAATAATAGGCTGGTGCTACTGCTTCTAGTCCCCTCCATGTGATTCCCGCGCCTAAAGCCTGAGAACCTGTGCTCGTATCTTATTTTTGATACATAACTTCTTAGACTCTAAAAGCACATAGGAAAAAGAAAAGACTAAATCCTGCATGAAAATAAGTGTTAACGGGAAAACTCAATTGCATATAACGTATAATGAGTCATACCTTATAAGTGGGGGAACTAAATAACACCTATAAGCAAAATGGTCAGAAATCATCACATGCTCCCTCATAGTGGTACATGTGTGTGTGTGTGCATATAAATATGCATGGCTCTCTGCAGAAAAATGCCCTAACACACTACCATAAGTATGAAGCATGAAGTCTCACCACAGACAATACAAAAAAAAGATGCACGATTAGGGCAACCAATTTCGACAAAGAACAATAACCAGAAATCAAAAAGTCTACCTATCAACCTAAATCATAGCTTAACACACCATTTACCGAGAAAGTGTATTAACCCAGTATCTAAGCACTGGGTAAGTCTAGGTATAGTATGACTTTGATGGGGTCGCTATATCGAAAGATCTAAAGGGCATCACGAATAAGGGTGACACAAGCCAGATCAATTGAATTCTTAGCACAATCATACTTGTGTCAATCCTGATGACTTAACTTGCATTGCTTACCGGGATCTACCCAGCAAGCGATGCTCGTTAAGGCATTGCGACCGACACGAGGTCACTCTCCTAACATGCCTGACTCTCTACCCGTGCAAACTTGCAAATGCAAGTGCAGACAGTCATGTGAAAGAAGTGATGAGTGTACCGTGAGGCAGTGACTCAGGAAAATATAGGCAAACCGTGGAGGCAGCGACCCGATGAAATGAGTGTGTCGTAATAACAGTGACCCGGAGATGGGCGTGTCGTGCAGGCAACGACTTGAGGAAATGGACGTGCTGTAGCGGCAATGACCCGGAGATGGGTGTGCCGTAGCGGCAGTGACCCAAGGAGATGGGTGTGCCGTAGCGGCAGTGACTCAAAGATGGGTGTGCCGTGTAGGCAGCGACCCGAGGAAGTTATGCCGAGGCGGCAGTGACCAAATGGAGAGCATGTCGTGAAGACAGTGGCCCGAGGAAGGTGTACCGAGGCGGTAGTGACCACATTAGATGGGCTTGCCGTGGCGGCAGCGACTCAAAGGTGTGTCAAGACAGCAGTGACTAAAAGGGATGGGCGTGTCGTGGCGGCAACGGCTCAAAGTAGGTGTGCCGAGGTGGTAGTGGCCGAAAGGGATGGGCGTGTCAGGCGGCAGTGACTTGAAAAAGTACAACACAAGCAAATGATAATAATCATGCAAGCTAACACACACAAGATGCAATATGCAAATATGCAAATATGCAAAAATGGGATGCGATCGAAAAAAAAATGTAATAAGATGTAGAAGCATACAAACATGCAAGTATTCGATTAACCGGATCGTGGTGGTTGGTTGAACCAAAGTGATCAGTCAACCAGGCCGGGGCGACCGTCAAACTAAAGTGAGATACTCATCTGGCCAGGGCGGCTGATCAGAGTGAAGTGAAATGCTCACCGGGCCGGAGCGGCCGGTCCGAGCGAAGTGAGATGCTCACCGGGATGGGGCGACCGATTAGAGCAAAATGAAGTGCTCGTTGGGACTGGGTGGCCGGTCAGAGCGAAATGAAGTGCTCTTATGCTCCATTTAAAATGTTGTGCAATCCAAAGCAAGGAAAGATGCGGGTAGCCAATCAGGCTCGTGCTAACGACATCACCTGGGAAACCTAAGGTTTAGACTCTTGGATGTGCGACATCGCCACCTCTTGCTCTGGTGAGGAAATGTGGGGAGTTTCTCCCCGGATCTTTGAGAGGAAACTCTCCATGGCGTCCTGAAATAGTAACTACAATTTTTTTTTTCATTTCGTGAACTTCTCTAGACTTCGCAAAACGTGCCAGCTACAAAGCTTCTCTTGCTTTACCGTGTCTGAGCTTCCAACATTCTCTAAGTAAAGTTGGGAATCCGAAGCAAGGGGAGTGAGTTCGACCCATCGGGACTTGTGTTAAAGCTCACAATAAAGATGGGACACTCGACTCAACGGAGGGTGTTTGACCACACACAGGAAGTCCTAACCTAAAGGCTAGCTCTAAATAAATCAAATCACATAGGCACGTCGTCGCGCCGGCACACGCTGACGCACTCACCCAGTGTGGGCGATCAAACCCACACGACTAGCATAATTACTACTTCGGGCCAGCTAGGAGCTGAGAAATCTCACCATCGTGGCGGTTGCAGACGCGTTCTCTTTGCTTACTCCAAGCTGCCGGCATCCGGTCCATGCACCAATGTACTTCGCAGAGCGTGCACATAAACAAACAAAAGTTAATAAGGGCAAAGACGCACTTTCCGGCGAATCTCGCAACAAAACACGGAAATCAGGAAGCTAGTAAGGTATATAAGGTACTCAAAATAGATAATTTAGGCATATAAAAATATGACCAAAACGTACCTTCAAAAAGGGTCGCTTGACGCCCGGCGAAAGAGGGGAACCCACGAGGATGCCGACGGGAGGAAGTGTTGACGGAGTTTTTCCCCTCAAGGTGGAAGACATCTGCGCCTTCCTGAACAACAGATCTTTGCTGTTCCTCAACAGTGGATCATTCCGACAAGATTTTCGATCACCGGAAATACGGGAAAATGAGGTGGAGCTAGCTCGTC